GTCTCTCGCCCACGTGAAGTCGGAGCTGCAGAAGAGACACACGTGCACAGACTTGGGTGAACTGCGCAGCTACCTTGGCTTGCAGATCACCCGGGACAGAGCACGCCGCACCATTACCCTGACTCAGTCACACATGGTGCAGCAGGTCCTTCAGCGCTTCGGCTTCACCTGGTCCTCAGCACAGGCCACTCCTCTGGCTGTAGGTCACTCGCTCTCAGCTCTGCCTTCGGATGAGTCCGTAGAGTCGAGTGGTCCTTACCCAGAGCTAGTTGGTTGCCTTATGTACCTGATGACTTGCACTCGTCCTGACCTAGCATACCCTCTTGGCCTTCTGGCCCGCTACGTAGCTCCTGGCAGGCACCGAAAGGTGCACTGGGATGCTGCAAAGAGGGTATTGCGCTACTTGTGCAGTACATCGGGCATGGGGCTCGTGCTTGGAGGAGGGAGCTCAGTTGTTCTCACTGGGCACTCAGACGCTTCTTGGGTTCACGACCAGGCTAGTCAGCGGTCGTCACAGGGTTACACCTTCAGCCTTGGTTCTGGTTCAGTTTCGTGGCGCTCTACGCGTTCGTCTTTGGTTCTCAGCTCCAGTTGTGAGGCTGAGATCTACGCCACAGCCATGGCTGCACAGGAGTTACGCTGGCTCACCTACCTGCTGACCGACCTTGGAGAGAGGCCTAGTTCTCCTCCAGTGCTGTACGTCGACAACAAGGCTGCCATTGCCTTGTGTGAGGAGCACAGACTGCAGCACAGAACGAAGCACATCGCTCTGCGTTACTTCCTTGCTCGAGAGCTGCAGCAGCGTGGTCAGCTTCGTCTGCGTTACGTGGCCTCTCAGGCCAACACCGCTGATATATTCACCAAGGCACTTCAGCCTGGTGATCATCAGCGCTTCTGTACTTTGCTGGGGCTGGTGCCCACTTTTCCTCACTTGTTGTAGGCTTTGCCTGTACTGTGATCTCTATATATTCTCCTGCCTGTTTGTTCTGCTAGGCTGAGATCACCCTTGCTGTTTGTACTACATATATATTTCTGCATGTGAACTGGCCATGTGGCCCTTTACTTGTGCTCGGAGTATGTGGTGACGTTGTGATCCACCCTGAGCTTGCTTGCCTTTCCTGACTGGTCTTGTGACCCCTTGCTCTCCCCCACTTTGCCTATGGGGGTGTGTCAAACACTACATGTGTTGTTGTTGTGTAGGCTATAGTGGGTTAGCCTTTAGGGGGTACACAAAACTAGGGTTTGCTACTTGTACTCCAACTTTTCATAGTTCACACACTTCTCATTCTGACATTTCTGACCCTCGATGGCGTCCTCGTGCAGCTTGAAAGTGTGGGTGACGGGACTTCCCTCCCCATCCATGCCTTTGACCTTCACCTCCCGCTTGTTCAACGGTCCATGCTTCTCCAAAAACTCAGTCAGCAACTCGCTATTCTCAGCGTAGTTGACGCCATGCTCGATGTAGTGTTGCTTCAGCTTGTCGCACGTGTTGTGGACCATGGATGCCACCCGGGTGATGTCCACCTGCACACGGCAAGAACTGGTAGTCAGAGACGTTCGTATGCATAAACATAAGCTCGGACCTCGCAAGTGCTCACCGTGCGCCGATGAAACTTGAGGTTCAGCTCGTTGAGCAGTTTCAACACATCTGCCAGGAAATAGAGGAAAAGGTGAAACTTGAAGCTTGTGACTGTCGCGTATGCTTTCTTGTCGTGCTCCCACAACACGACTATTGCCGCTAATAGGACTGCCACGAGCCTCCAAATCGCGTCGCCACGCGCCAACCATCTAACGTCTTTAATCCCCTGCACCTCCAGAGATGTCTCGTGCTGAATGTGTTGGAGTTTCATGAATCGGAAGTGAAAGATGATGCTCCTCCCCGAGTTTTCTGCGACGCTCCGCACGACTGTGTCGACCATGTTGAGGTCGGGCACCGCTTCCGCCGCGTCCTTCGCGGCGAGAGCCTCCTTGCAAGTGTGCGAAATCAAAGGGTTAGAACGCGTGTGCAACAAGTGCGACAATAGAATCATAAACAATCTACACACAAATGTTGATAACGGACCTGTGAGCGATGAAGTGGCACGTCACCAAGTGTGGGACTCGCAGTTTCAGCTGTGTCGCCACTCCAGCCTGTTAACCCCGCATCACGCTCGTGCCATCCGTACTTATGCCCGACAATTTCATGATGTCGACGCCCGTCACGGCCAAATGGGCGAGAAGTACCGTCAACAGAGACGACGCGTCGCACTTCTCGACCGCCAAGTGCCCAAACAGCTCGGTGATGACCTCTGCGCCGCGAATGAAGCTCAGATAGACAATCATGTGCTTGCCTCTGCGACGGTCGGTACTCTCGTCGAGTTGAATGTCTAGGAACGGAGACGCCTGGATGTAGTGCGTCTGCTGCTGCTTAAGGTTGGTGACGATCGCTTCGGCTATTTCACGAAAGCCGTACATGCATGTCACAGTCAATGTGGTATTAGTCGTAGTGACTTTAGAAACACAAACCAAGAACGTATCATCATTCACGCTGACTGGTATGTCCCTATGGCCTTGTACGGGATGTGAGGCGTCTGAAGCTCGGCCAACAGGCGAACAAGATCGACAAAAAGGGAGATGGGGGAATCGGATTTGCAAATAATTAGCACGACCAGCATCAGTTGTTTCAGCCGCGGCATCTCGTTGTCGTCGTTCTCGAACTCCTCAATGCCCCGTTGGTCAACCTTACCGCCTTCTGCGCGAAGCTTGGCATTGACGGCGTCCTGGTGCTTCCTGCTGAGCGCGTGCTTCCGCATCGTTTGCCGCTGGATATCAACGCCACCGTCGCCAAGTTTACCGAACTTCCAGTGGGCAGGACCGTGAGCCATGCATATGCTGCACTTCATGCATGGAGTCCCGTCCTTCCTCTGCGTGATAATCAGCCACTTGAATTTGTCCTTGCCAATATTCCTTTGACAGTTCGTGCAGTTTCTCCATTAGCGCGTCTGGATCAGGGACATGGATGGTGCTCCTAGAAGGCCCAGGATCACCTGTCAAATGAGCTGCTGGTGGAGTTGATGAAGCACATACTCTAGGCGCTGTGGTGGGGCGTGCCACGATGCGGACGTGAGGAACCCCCGTCTTAGCAATCCGCAGTGTGCTCTGGTTAAATCGGCCTGCCTTGGGGAAACGGGGGACGGTAGTACCACGTAAAGAGCTATGCGTCGCTTGCGATCTAGGCTTCGCAGTATTCCGAGTAGAGGAATTAGGGGAGACGGGCGATGTGCTGCTGAAAGCCCGTCTAGCATTAACAGCGGGCCATGAAACAGGAGTAACATCCTGGCGATTCAGGGAAGAAGCCACTGGAACGCGAGTCGGCGAAGACGAGCCTAACACAGCGGCAGGCTGGGAGCGTCATAGGAAATCTAGGCCAGTGACTGGTGGATTGGGCCGTGGGGTGGGTGATTCAGCAGCTTCCGCGTCGTCCGCCATGGCGAGAAGACGGACTGACGGGGAAGGGGAGAGAATTAGTGTAATCGCGCTGAAAATGGTTGGGTGGGGCGTTTGCAAGAGATGCTTGGAGAAGAAGGATCCCCCGAAACCCCAACGCCCGAACACACACCCCAGTTGACGAAGCGCGTATGGCTGTAGAAAACTGTAGGTGGCACCACTTGACTGTAGTGATTCCGTAGCGCGCTTCCTGAACCTTCTGCAGGCGCCGAATTTGAGGGTTTGTGGTGTTGGATTGATGACTGTTGTACAAAACTAACCAGTCCCTCACTCGTGACAGGCCACGTACGACAGAAATGGTCATGCGTGGGCAAGTCGTGACGCAGACATCACGTGAGTACAGCATAGAACGTGACTGTTTGCCTGTTGCAGCAGATTTTTTTTGGTGTGGTGGCGAAAGATACACGTGGGAGCTGGGGCCGCGAAATGTATGATGCATACATTCCGGTAATCAAGGGGAAACACCTACACCACGCCTTGTTCACGCGTCAATCACGGCCAAGGGAAGAAAGATCCGGTAACAGACGAAACCGGAAAGTGTTCCTGATTAATAAGAGGAACATGGAAAACGTGTCTGATGGATCAGATACACAGGAAATTCATTTCTGAATGAACAGATTTTACCAATAGCAAATTTCTGAACCATCAGATTAAATCAAAACATTATATTCAAATATAGGACAAACATACAAAAAAAATCTGCTAGCGACAACCCTGATTCGCTCTTGCACACTATATCAACCTTGCTTGTAGATGCCATTATCAACCAATTCTCATTCAACCACTACTCAGTTACTTCTTCTCCTATTTTTGCTAACACTTCTTTCGCCAAAGTCTTCCGCCGCGTTTTATCGTCCTTGAAGCCCTTGTTTTTTTATAGCGGCATATTTTCCTATTGCAGCACACATAATTGCAAATAAATTAGCATCGTCGATCCAACCACCTTCTTTCTCAAGCGCCGTACGATGCGGTACCAATCAGAGTGAAATGCAGATTCTACCAGTTTCAGCTCACAATTACCGGACAGGCCACGACTCGCCAAAATTGTCATGCGAGTGCGCAATGCAAGATCTCAACCCTCGTCATGACCAACCTACCAAAGAAACTGAACTAAGCATTTTCCCCTTGCACAACGAATCCTTCCATGATACTACAACTACGCGACTCGTTCCCCATTGCACAATCATTGACTGGTCACGAGCAAGCTGACCTGCTGACCCCCTTTCCGCATGCACCGCAACTAGCGGCCCTAACCGACCTCGGCTTCTTCAAGTGTTGCTGCCTCGCGCCAAGACTAGTACTAGTTTGGCAAGTAATCCAGTCGTCGAGCAAACCATTTCACATTCAGCCTCAGCCTATATGATATCATCTGCTCTTACTACTTGAGCCCAAATTCTGTCGCGTTACATCGCAAAATGGATCATCCAGAAGCCCGAATCAATCGCTTTCTTATCACCATCCTCGCGTTCACCTTGATCCATGCTGTTAGCGCCAGCGCCACCAGTTTCCGCCGTATGCTCCAAGCGCCGCCGGTAGCTGCCGCGAAGCAGTACCAGGGTAGGCTCAGCAACAAAATCAACACCGATGGCGGCAAATGCGAGTTCTTCGGGTCGCCCTTCGACAAGAGCGAGTTTTTCGACGGAGGGAAGGTCGCACGCTTCCCGCCGGAGATTTTTGACAAGGGAGCCGCATGCGGCGCGTGCTACTTCGTCTCGTGCGTGAATAACTCGCGCTGCGTAGCGGACGCGAAGGTAAATGTCCGCGTGGTGGGCATCTCGAAGAATAATTCGCGGATCATCATCTCTGACACGGCGTGGAGCAAGATTGCCAAGGATAAGGACAAGAACCCTGTGGATTTTAAATACGAGCGCGCGCCGTGCAGCAACGCGACGAGCATCGCCGTGCGGGTTCGCGATAAGTCCACCGAGGACGAGTTTAAGGTGCAGATCTTGGGAACGGCCGGCCCAGGAAGCGTGGAGCGCGTCGAGGTGTCGAACGACGGGTCCACGTGGAAGGCGATGGAAAGATCTGACGTCAAGGCCACGTGGAAGATCAAGGGCGAAAAGGCTTTTCTGCGCGCGAAAAAAACGCTTTCGTTCCGCGTAACCGCGAGAGACACTAAGGAGCAGGTCGTTCTTAAAGACGTGCTCCCCGCCGCGGATTGGAAAGCCGCCACGACTTACAAGTCTAAGGACGCGAACTTCAAGAAGGACCCTCCCGCGACGCGTGCTGCTGCGACGGAACCTAAGAAGGACGAGGGGAAGAAGGCCGACGATAAGAAGAAGACGGAAGAGGCGCCGAAGCCAAAGAAGGACGAGGTGAAGCCAGGCGCCGTGCGAGCAGCGGTGACCAAGGCGGAGGAAGCAGTAAAGAAGGTGAGCGAGGTGCTCACAAAGGCCACCAACGCGGTCTTGGAGGCGCTTAAGCAGATCGCGGCAACAGGAATCGCCGAGAAGTAGCTCTCCGTGAAGGCCGGCTGCTAAGACACGGTAGCGGAAGTTGTTTTCTTCTCTATTTTTGTTCTGATATTTTCCTGGGTTTCGTGAAGTGGCTGTCCAGTAGCAAGGACTTGGTAATGCTTCTTGATATAGCGTGCATGAATGGGACCAATGTTTAGTGGATGCAGTTTTTGTTTGTATACCATACAAAAATGTAGGAAATGACGTCTCAAAATTGTATTGAAATATTTTTTTTACAATACCAGCGAACAGAAAAATAGCTAAAAAGGGTGCTGGGACAATCTGTGGTTTGGCTTGCATACAAAACAAGGATGATAATTTCTGGTTTGAATTGCATTTAGGTTTGAATTGCATTTAGAAGCTGCATTGAGTTGTGTTACAAACGAACGTCCCAATATTGAGCAGCGTCGACCTGACATCAACCCTGCTAGCTACATCGCATCCACACCACACATCTTGCCGACAATTCTCTGAAGCAACCTAATTAATTCAGCCTAATCCAATTTCCACTTATCTCGAGTCTTAGGAACGACTTGAAAGTCCCTTGCAGCTAATCCTTACGGTCTAACTCGATCATGGCCGTCGACGCGTCGCCGAGAAGAGGCGGCGCGGAGGGAGGCGCGGCAGCCGCAGCGGAAGAAGAGGGGCGTGAGGTGAGTGAGGCGCACAGCAACCGCTAGGGCTCGCGGTTTGATTCAGAGATGGATCCATGCGCCTGGTAATTCGTTCCGCGCGCCTAAAAGCACGGTGAAAAAGCGGGTGGAGCGAACGCGCGGGGGAATGAGCTTGTCGTGGGGCGCGCTCGTGGGTCGACACGGTGGTCCGATAATCCTCCTTGCGTGACCGGCGTCACGCAATAGCGACGCGCTGCGCGAGAATCCACGCGTTCGCAGGGACGCATCTCGTATGGTCGGCTCTAACCCTAAACCGAGGGTCAGCAGGGACCTGACCTGTTCTCAGAATAAACTGGCGTCTCGGTCACGTGGCGTCGGCTTTCATTTGCTCGCGTCTACACCAGCGCTTCCCCTCAGGCTCCGCCCCACTGCTCCGTGCCTCGAGACGTCCCAGAACTTGCCAGCGTCGTTCCGCCTTCCCCGCTCCCCCGCTCCACGCGCACGTGTGCCTCCCCCGTTCCGCGCGCGCACGTGGGCATTTCCCGCTCAAAACGCACACTAGCTACACCCTGCGGACGGATCTAGGAGACGCTTTGAGTTGAATTTCATGGAGCTAATAGCCTCTTCTCTCCTCCTTCCTTCCTGGGTCCCCGTCATCGTCGCCCGTTTCTCACTCTGTTTCTACCCCCCGATTTCTGATGTAGGGTTTTCATAACTCTCGCGGTTATGCTCTCTAGTTCAACCCTAACCTCACTTGTTGCCCCTCCGCTTCCCACCCATGTGACCCTCGCTGCCCCTCGCCTTCCCCCATGCATCCTTTGGTCTTTTTACATTCTTACCTCCAACTTCTCACCTTCTCCCTCTCTTGTTTCAACTCCTCACCTCAGTGTGCAAGCTGATGAACAGGTGTGTAGCCTTTCATGTGAGAGTCTTTTTGAGAATGTTCACAGTTCACTAAGGACGCGTCCCCTCCGGCTCGATCGTGCAAAAACCGATCTTTGACCGCACCAAAAACCCGTGTATTGCATTCAAAACTTCTAGACGTTTTTTGAACCACGTGAAAAATCGATCCTACGTAGGATCGATCGCAGGATTGGCCTTCAGGTGACGCGTCCTAATGCCGTCCTCATCAACTGCCACTCGCCGCTGCTTCTTCTCACTTCCCTCTTCATCTTTAACCCACGCACTTCCTCCCCCGTCTTCTCCCCCCCAACCTTCTCTCCACTTCCCCCCTTCCCCCCCCCTTCTCCCCCCCCTCTTCCCCTCTTCCACCCCCAACGCCCTTTCTCTCCCGCTTCCCCCCAGGACGATGCTCTCGCCAGAGCAGACGAGGCTCGGAAGGCTGCCGAGGCTAAGAAGGCGCTTCGGGCGGCAAACCTGCGGCCGAAGCGGCTGGGCGCGAGCGGCGAGGGCAAGGGCCTGGATTCAAGCATCAAGCGCAACACGGCGGTGATCCGACGGCTGAAACAGCTCAGCGAGGATCAGAGGGAAACCATTTTGGATGAGGTGGGTGGGTGGGCGTGGGTGGGTGGGTGGGTGGGTGGGTGGGCGTGGGTGGGCGGGCGCGGGTGGGTGGGTGGGTGGGCGGGCGCGGGTGGGTGGGCGCGGGTGGGTGGGTGGGTGGGTGGGTGGGTGGGTGGGTGGGTGGGTGGGTGGGTGGGTGGGTGGGTGGGTTGGATGGCTTGTGTCAGTTTGTGGGTGTGGGTTTCCTTTCTATCTCGGTAATGTAGCTGATGTGGGTTGTGGGTGTAGCTGGTGTAGCTGGTGTTAGGTAGGGATGGTGTGGTGAGATGGCACAGGTGGATGGTACAAGCATGTGGGGGTTAGGGGTGAGGGAAGCGAGGGGTAACGGATGGTGGATGGTGGAAGGGGAAGACAAGCTCAGTGTCAGCCTCTAGTCTAGTCCCAAAGCCTTCAGTTCACTGCGTCCTCCACACAACCCCGCCTCTCCCGCCCCCGCTCCTTCTCCAGTTCCTTAACCCTCTCGGTTTTTCACCCAAATCCTTGTAAGCTCACCTATCTCAAGTCAAGATTTCGGGTGTTTTCCGTTCTAAGCCCACCCTGTAATCATTTCCCTACTTACCTCCTCTTCCCCCTCCACCAACTCCCCATTCTTCCATCCGCCCCCCCTTGTTCCTACCTTCCTCTGTGTACCTGCCTCCCTGTCCCGCACCCGCAGGAACTTGCACCCTGTAGGCTGCAATCCCCCTCCCATGCCTCCCTCCTGCCTGTCCTCCTGCCTCCCCTCCTGCTGCCCCCTGCCTCCTCTCCTGCATCCCCCCCTCTCTCCCCCCCACCAGGTGCGGCGCGCGCAGTGAACATGAGCAAGTACGTGTGAGAGACATCGACGGCGGCACCTCTAGCCCCTTCTTTCCCTCGCTCCATCCCCTTTCGATCGACCCCTCCCACCTCCCTTCCGCCCTCTTTCCGTCCTTTCCCCCACGCCCCTCCTCCCTCCCCCAAACCAGGTGCGGGCAGTGAATATGAGCAAGTACGTGTCGGAGGCAGTAACAGCTCTAGCCTACTCCCCCACTCCATCCCACCCTCCCTCCCTCCGTCCCTCCTTCTCGTTTCCCCCCCACCAGGTGCGGGCAGTGAACATGAGCAAGTACGTGTCAGAAGCAGTGGCGGCCATAGCGGAGGCCAAGCTCAAGATGGCAGACATCCCCGCTGCCGTGCAGGTCCCTGCCTCCCCTCCCGTCCTTTCTCCTCCCCTCAACCATTCCCCCCCTTCCCCCCTCTCCTCTGCTCCCCGGCCCTCCTCGCTCCTCTCCTCCTTTCTTGCCCGCTCTTTCTCCAATCCTCCCCTTTCCCCCCTCCCCTCCTCTCCTCTCCTACACTCCTCCCCTCCCACTCTCTTCTCCTCCCCTCCTCTCCCATCTTTCTCCTCTCCGCCTTTCCGTCCCGTCCCATCCGATCTCCCTGCCCTCTTCTCCCCTCCCTCATTATCCCCTCCCTCCTCCCTTTCCTCCTTCTCCCCTCCCCTCCCATCCCACCCCCCCTTCCCCCCGCGCCTCTCCCCTCCCTCCGTCACCCACGGGCCACGTCGGCCCACATACGTTGGATGTACTAAGTACCATGCTAAACGCTAATAAAACGGTTCACACCAACCAAATATGCTCTTCGAGCAGATCCATGACCCATCTACCCTTTGTATGCGTTACTAACTGTGTCGCATCTGATTCAGCCGTACACTAATAGCCTCACGCAATCATGGATGCACAAGATTAAGGATTCCTTCCCCCCCCCCCTCCTTTCTTTTCTATTCACCTCCTCTTTCCTCTCACCCCCCCGCCAGACGCCTCTCATCACCTCTCCCATTCTCCCTCTCTCCCCCTTTCCCCTTCTCCCCCTCTCCCCCATCTGCTCCTCTGCCCGTCTACCCCTCTCCCCGTCTCCCCCCATCCCCCTCCCCCCCTCTCCCCCTCACCTCACGCCCCTCCCCAACCTCGTCCACCCCTTCAGGTCTGCTCGCTGCTGCACCAGCGCTACGCAGACTTCTCCCCAGCCCTCATCCCCACCCTGCTCCGCGTCCTCATGCCATCCCCACCCTCCTCCAAACCAACCACCGGCACCAGCACCAGCGGTGGCAGCAGCAGCACCATCACCAGCAGCTTGTTTTTCGATGATTTCGACGGGAGCGCTGTTAGTGCGGGCGGAGCAGGGGGGGGGATCAGCGGAGCAGGGGTGGCAGGAGCGGGAGCAGCGGGAGGAGGGGGGGCGGTGGCAGGGGCGGGTGGTGCAGGCACAGGGGCGAGCCTCTCTGCTCGAATATCGCGGAAGCGCAGCGTGTTTCGGCTGCTAGTGGAGCTGTTCTTATGCGGAGTGTACGGCGATGCGAGTGTGATTATCGGCGTCGTGAAGGAGATGGCGAGCGCGGATGGGGCCGGGCTTGTAGCAGCCGCAGCAGCGGCGGCGGCGGCAGGAGGAGGAGCGGGAGGGGGAGCGGAAGTGGGTATTGGTGCTGGGAAGAGTGAGAGGGAGAAGGAGAGGCTGGAGAGGGAGAGGGAGGCGGTGACCATGTCTGTGACGCTCATGCTCAGCTTTGTGCGCGTGGGAGGGCCGCTACTAGGGCTCAAGAGCGACCCAGCAGATGAGGAGGTATGTGATGACGCCCCTCCACGCTCTCCCGGGCTTCCCCTCCCCCCCCCCGCACGCCCAGGTTATCAGGAGGTCTACACAGGCCTCCCAATCACCGCTGACCAGTGCAAATGTGTCATCGCTTATTTGGCCCTTCAGAAGCCAGCCTTAGTTTTGAGGGGGGATTCTAAAAAAACAGAACCCCCCCAATCCCCCTCTCCCCTCCGCTCCCCCCTCCCACGCCCAGGTCTACACAGACCTCCCCGTAACCGCAGAGCAGCGCAAGCAGCTTTCCAAGCTGGTCTCCTCATTCTTCGAGGCGCTGTGCACGCTCGTGCAGAGCGAGCAGGGCGTGCTAAGGGGCATGGAGCGGGACATAGCGCGCATCACGGCGCAGAGAGGGGAGGTGGGCGAGGACGTGACGGGCGCGTATGAGAAGAGCCGCCGAGGGCTGGAGCAGCTGCTGCGCAACACCAACGCGTGAGTGGGGAGGATTGGATTTTGTGTGTGTCGCCGGGGGTGTCGCTGTGGGTGTTGATACAGGTGTCACTGCCGGTTCAGTTTCGAGTTCCTCTTTCAGAATGGTGGGTTCGTTCCGGTCTGCGCGTTTGTGTGCGTTCAACCCTTTTGTTCACATCATCCTTGAAATTCGTTGGATTCTAAACGCAGAGTAACGATCAGAGCCTGCTAAGAGTAACGATCTATAGCACTTAGTCCACTAATCTGAAAGTCGAGGGAAGTAGTGAGAAAAGGTCTACTAATCAGAAAGCCAGACACATCATCCTTTGTACTTCTACCAGCCCTCCCTTTTCCCTAGCGCCCTCTCAGCACCCAACCCCATCCCACCCACCACCCTCAACCCACATACCACCACTTTCTTACATCCCCGTCCCCCCCTCTCCCCACCTTCCCCCTTGAACCCCTCCCCTTTTTCTTCGTACCGTCCTCCCCTTTTTCTTCGTACCGTCCTCCCCTTTTTCTTCGTACCGTCCTCCCCTTTTTCTTCGTACCGTCCTCCCCTTTTTCTTCGTACCGTCCTCCCCTTTTTCTTCGTACCGTCCTCCCCTTTTTCTTCGTACCGTCCTCCCCTTTTTCTTCGTACCGTCCTCCCCTTTTTCTTCGTACCGTCCTCCCCTTTTTCTTCGTACCGTCCTCCCCTTTTTCTTCGTACCGTCCTCCCCTTTTTCTTCGTACCGTCCTCCCCTTTTTCTTCGTACCGTCCTCCCCTTTTTCTTCGTACCGTCCTCCCCTTTTTCTTCGTACCGTCCTCCCCTTTTTCTTCGTACCGTCCTCCCCTTTTTCTTCGTACCGTCCTCCCCTTTTTCTTCGTACCGTCCTCCCCTTCCCAGCCTGGCTGAGGCTCTGGACCGTCCACCTGTCGTGCTGCCAGAGGACGAGCACACCACCCACGTGGCAGGGGGCGGGGACAGCTCAGCAGGGGGCGCAGGAGGGGCGGGGGCGGACGGTGGGAAGAGAGAGGCTGAGCCTTTACCCCTGTGGGATGATGATGAGACGAGAGTGTTCTATGAAGACCTGCCGGACTTGAAGCTGTTTGTTCCTGCTGTGCTGCTGGGTGATGGGGGCGGGAAGGGCGGAAAGGGGGATGGCGAGGAGAAGGAGAGTGAGGAGGGCGAGGGGAAGGAGGAGAAGGAGAAGGATAAAGAGAAGGGGAAGGAGAAGGGGAAGGAGAAGGATAAGGAAGAGAAGGAGAAGGGGAAGGAGAAGGATAAGGAGAAGGGGAAAGAGAAGGAGAGTGAGAAGGAGAAGGAGAAGGTGAAGGGAGTGGAGGCAGCGAAGCTAGACGACTTGTTGCAGCGCCTGCCGTCCTGCGTCAGCAGAGACCTCATCGACCAACTCGCTGTCAGTCAGCCTCCCGCCCTCGCTACCTGCCCGCCCCCCCACCCCTCCCTCCCCCTCCCTCCCTCCCTCCCTGCCTCCCTGCTTCCCTCCCTCCCTCCGTCCCTCCCAGATCTCCCTTTTCCCACCTCTTACCATCCTCGGCTCTCCCCGCCTTCTCCCTGCCCACCCTTCCCTCCTCTCCCCACCCTCTCTTACCAGGTGCGTGAACAGCGGGGCGAGTCGCCACAGGCTGGTGCGCTCCTTGTTGCACCTCTATTAAGCATCCATACCCGCCTCTTAATCTGTTGCCTCTCCCCTCCCCATTCCCCTCCCCCTCCCCTTCTCCCTCCCCCTGCCCTTCCCCCTCTCCCTCCCCGTCCGTCTCCCCGGCCCCCTTCCCCTCCCCGCCAACTTCCCCTCCCCGCCAACTTCCCCTCCCGCCCAACTTCCCCTCCCGCCCAACTTCCCCTCCCGCCCAACTTCCCCTCATCCAGGTGGACTTCTGCTACGTGAACAGCAAGGCGAGTCACCACAGGCTGGTGCGCTCCTTGACATGCCTCTTGAACGCATCCATTTACACCTCTTTTCCTGCTGCTTCCCCACTGAGGTGACTTTTGAGTCGACTCAAAAGTCTTGAACGCATCCATTTACACCTCTTTTCCTGCTGCCTCCCCACTTCCCCCACTCTTCCCCCATCCCCCTCTCCACCCGCCAACCCCCCATTTCCCCTCTCAGGTGGACTTCTGCTACGTGAACAGCAAGGCCAGTCGCCGCAGGCTGGTGCGGGCGTTCTTTGCGGTGCACCGCACGGCGCTGCAGCTGCTGCCGTACCACGCACGCCTGGCCGCCACGCTGGGGCAGTACATGCGCGATGTGGGGCCGGCGCTGGTGCACCTGCTGGAAGAGGAGTTTGCGGCGCTCAAGAGCAAGAAGGTGGGTGGGTTCGGCTCTTGTGTTGCTGCTGAGAGCGTGGGCTGAGCGCTTGAATTGGGTGCACGGGGAGCACGCTTGGGCAGTACATGCGGGATGTGGGGCTGCCCCTGGTGCAGTACCCACTGCTGGAAGAGGAGTTTGCTGCACTCAAGGGCAAGAAGGTGGGTGGGCAGCGGGCTGGGTTGGGCGGGGGGTTCGTGGGGCAAAGGGAGCAGCGCAGCAAGGTTGGCTTGTTGATGGGTTGGACGGAGGTTCAGTGCATTATGTGCAACATCTGAAAGTCCCTACTGTCCCTCGTCTCCCTCCCTCCCATCCCCTTTCTACCTTCCTCACTCACATGCGCGACACGCGCCCATCAGCATCGAACCAACTTGTGCAGCATTTAACAACCCCTCTTCTCCCCACTCTCTCTCGTCACCCCCCCACCCCCCCTCCTTCTTTCCATGCGCCCACAAGGATCAAATCAACATAGAGTCCAAGACGCGCAACATTCGAAAACGTCTCCTCTCCTTCCCCGCCCAACCCCTCTCTCCTTCCCTCTCCCCCCCTCCCCCCGCCGGTGCGGTCACCAGGATCAAATCAACATAGAGTCGAAGATGCGTAACATCCGCTTCCTGGGCGAGCTAGCCAAGTTCAAGGTCGCGCCACCAAGCCTCATCTTCAGCTGCCTCAAGGTGGGCCTCTCACCTCCTCCTCCTCCACCTCTCACAGCACCGTGCCATCCACCTTTCTCCATTCCAATTCGGTGCCATCCCTTCTGTGAAGCGGGCGGCGCGGCTAGTGCGATGTGACTGGCTTAGGGGTAGCAGCTCAGCGTGCACTGCATGGCCACCCTGAGCGGGATGATTTTCGACGCGCCTGTGTCTAGTGACTAGTGTGCTCCTCCCACCCACCCACCCTCCTCCACCTCCTCTTTCCCCTCGCCCCTTGGTCGCGTGCATGCAGTCATGCCTTCTTTGAAGGGCTTGTCCCACCACAGCATTGACATGACTGCGTGCAGAGCCTGCGTCCTTGTGTGCTCCTCCCATCCCCCCACCCTCAATCGCCTGCATGCAGTCGTGCCTGGAGGACTTCTCCCACCACAGCATCGACGTGGCGTGTGCGCTGCTTGAGACGTGCGGGGCCTTCCTCTCCCGCCACCCCGACACCAAGGTGTGTGCGCTCACAGGCTCACAGGCTCACGTGTGATGCGGTGCTGTGCCCGGGTTTCATGTGCCCGGGTTTCATGTGCCCGGGTTTCATGTGCCCGGGTTTCATGTGCCCGGGTTTCATGTGCCCGGGTTTCATGTGCCCAGGTTTCATGTGCCCAGGTCTCATGTGCCCAGTTGGGCTGTGTAACAATTTGTTTTTCCGGCATAGGACAAGGCATATCCCGTCGTCCCCTCAACCCTTCCCTGTTCCCCCCACCTTGCTTCCCCACGTTCCCTGTCTACCCCACCCACCTCTCCCCGCTCTTCCTGTCCAACCCACCCTTCGCCCTCCATTTTTCCTGTTCCTCACACCCGTTCACTGTTCCTCTAGTGGTTCCTTTCGAATTCTCTCACCCCTTCCCTCTCCCCCCCGGGTGTGCAGCCAACCTGCTCCACCTCATCCGCTTCTCATGCCATCACTAGTGTCTCAGTTTTCCCTTTCCTTTGCCGCCATCCCCCCCATGAACTCCCCCTCTCTCCTCCATGCCCTTCCCCCCCCTCCACCACCCTCACCCACCCCTCGCCTCTCCACCAGGTGCGCATGGGCACCATGCTGGACATCATTAAGCATATCAAGAACACGAGGAGCTTCGACCCTTGAGCCGACTCACTAGTCTCCTCCTCCCCCTCACCCGCCCCCCCCACCCCCACCCCCCCCCCCCCTCCTTCAGGTGCGCACAGCCATTGTGCTGCACATCATCCAGCGCCTCACTGTTCTCTCCCCTCCCCTCCCGCCCCCACCATCCCCACCAGGTGCGCATGGGCAACATGTTGGACATCATTCAGCGCCTCAAGAACGCGCGCAGCTTCGAGTATTGCGTTTAGCACTTCCTTATTGCCCCTATCGCATGTTCTCCTCCTGCCGCCCCTTTTCCTTCCCACCCCCCCAACCAGGTGCGCATGGGCAACATGTTGGACATCATCCAGCGCCTCAAGAACGCGCGCAGCTTCGACGCGCACCACTCCACGCTCATTGACAACGCTTACTTCCTCTGCCGCCCCCCGGACCGCGTCGCCAAGGTTGTGAAGACACGCCCGCCGCTGCACCAGGTGAGGAGAGGGGGGAATGGGGTAAGGTGGGCCGGACGAAGGCATGGGCGGAGAGGCAGGCGAGTGTGTGGTGGGGGATGGGACGGGGATGCGTCTCTTTGTGTGGAGGTGGGGGTGGGGGAAGTGTGTTTATGTGTGGTGGTGGGGGTGGGGGAAGTGTGTTTATGTGTGGTGGTGGGGGTGGGGGAAGTGTGTTTATGTGTGGTGGTGGTGTGGTGTGGGGGCCGAGGGGTGTGGGTGTTGCTGTGCCGGGGGGAAGGGTACTTGGAGGGCCAGGGAGGCTGCAGTGGGGGTGAGGTGAGGAGGATATGTAGAACCTCAGCGTGATGTACAGGGGCGGCTGCCTGTGTGGTTTTTGAGACGTCTCAAAAACACCCTCTCTACACAGGGGCGGCTGCCTGTGTGGCCTGCCTGCCCTGCATCTGGCACGTGCAACGGGTTTTTTACACATACGTATTCTGAGACTCTTCACTGCTCTGAGCATGCGTATGTAGCTTTAAGTGCATTTGCAAGCTCCTGTTCCGTCCCCCCTCTCCACTCCCCGTCTCCCCTCCCCATCTCTCCTCCCGTTCCCCCCACTTTCCCCCCTCCACCCATCCCATCCAGTCACCCCTCCCCTTATACTCTCCCCTTCTTTATTCACTGCATTCTTTCGCAAGCTGCTCTTCCCCTTCTCCCTCTCCCCCTCCCCCTCTTCCCTTTCCCCTCTCCTCCTCTCCCCTCTCCCTTCTCCCCTCTCTCTCCCTTTCCCCGCCTCTCCTTGCAGTCCCTCCTCCGCCCTGCGCCCCTCTCTCCCCCATCCTCCCCACAGTACATCCGCAAGCTGCTCTATGCTGACCTCAGCAAGGGCACCTACGGCATCTGCTTTCCTCTCACCATCCCATTCCCTACTCTGTCACCTCCTGCCCTCCCTCCCTTCCCCCTCTCCCCCCCTCCCTTTCTCCTCCCGTACCTCTCCCTCCCCCCCATCCTATCCACAGTACATCCGCAAGCTGCTCTACGCTGACCTCAGCAAATCCACCGTCGAGAAGGTTCTGCGGCAGCTGAGGAAGCTTCCGTGGGGCGAGTGCGAGGGGTACGTGGTGCGGTGTCTGATCAAGGCCCACCGCGCACGCTTCAACCAGATCCACCTGCTCGCCTCGCTCGTCGCTGCTCTGTCCAGATTCAGAGAATCTGTCGGGGTGGCCGTGGTTGATCAGGTGAGAGAAGGGGGGGGGTGTGTGTGGTTGAGGGACGGGGGAAGTGGGGGTCGAGCAGGATGGAAGGAGGGAGGGAGGGAGCGAGGTGGTTGAGTGGGGATGGGACGGAGCAACGAGCAGTAGAGGGATGGGGCGAGGAAGGGGAGGTGCGAGGGGTACGTGGTGCGGTGTCTGGTGAAGGCCCACCGCGCGCGCTTCAACCAGATCCACCTCCTCGCCTCTCTCGTCGCCGCTCTGTCCAGATTCAGAGAATTTGTCGGGGTGGCCGTGGTTGACCAGGTGAGGAGGTTGGGGAGACGGGGGAGGGGGGGGGGAGTGGGAGGGGAGATTTGAGGCGCCTCAAGAGATTCAGAGAATCTGTGGGGGTGGCCATGGCGGACCAGGTGAGGGTGGGGATGGGGTCGGAGTGGTGGGGGGGGGAGGGGAAGATGGAACAGGGAGGGAGGGACGGAGGACAAGGGATGGGAGGAAGGAAACGTGGGTGGGTGGACGGATAGGGGTAGGGAGGGAGTGTGCGAGGAGAGGGGTGGGAAAGGAGCGAGGGGGAAAAGAGGGAGGTAATTCTGTGTTGGATGCGCCTAACAGCAGTGCACCAGCACCCCTTTCCTGGTCTTTCGCCTCCCTTTAGTCGTCATCTCTCCTCCTCCTTCGCACTGGGAAAATCCCTCTTCCCTACCTCCGCTCCCTCTCCGCCTTCCCACAGACAATGGAGGACATCTTATTTGGCATAGAGGCACCAGGCAGCACGCACCAGCACCCCACCACTCTTCCCCTTTCGCTCCCTGTCTCCCCCACCTCCCGGCCGCTTCTCCCCCCACAGCTAATGGAGGACATTCGGCTGGGCCTGGAGGTCCCAGACAGCAGCTACCAGCAGCGGCGCATCACAGCGCTGCGCTTCCTGGGCGAGCTGTACAGCTACCGCGTGGTGGACTCGCACCTCGTCTTCGACACGCTGCACCTGCTGCTCTTCTTCGGCGCTGATACCCCCGAGGTACGGCGGGGACCAGTCAGGGGTTGTATGTGTGGGGTGCTGTGTGGTACGGGGTGTACAGCGGTGGAGTGCAGTGCGGTGCGCCGCTGCTTTTCCTGGGCGAGCTGTACAGCTATTGTGTGGTGTGGTGGACTCGCACCTCGTCTTTGACACGCTGCACCTGCTGCTCTTCTTCGGCGCTGATACCCCGAGGTGCGTGTGTTGGGTGGTGTGGTATGAGGTGTAGAGCGGTCCAGTGTGGTGCACACTGCTTTTACTTGGCGAGTCTTTGGTCTTTGACACGCTGCACCTGCTGCTCTTCTTTGGCGCTTACTCGCCCGAGGCAAGTCCTGTGCTGCCAGTGTGGTATGCCGGTGCAATGCGGTCGAGTGTGGTATTGTGCGGTGCACCCGAGAAGCATGCCACGCACCTGCTGTGTAATACAGTACAGTGCTCACGACCTGCTGGCGCTTTTCCAAAAGCTCTTCCTCCGAATCTCATCCCCTCCTTTTCTCCCCTCCCTTCCCCTCCCCTACATTCCTCTCTCCACCCATCCCCATCCCCATTCCCCCTGTCCTCCTCTCCTTTCAGCACGTCACCTTAGACCCCCCTGACAGTTCCTTCCACATCCGCATGGCAGCAACCTTTCTCGCCACCTGCGACCACTTTTCAAACTCTTTCACCCTCGCTCATCCGCCCCCTTCTCCTCCGCTCCTCTCTTGTCTCCTTCCATCCGCATTCGCAATCTCTCCCCTCCCAACAGCACCTTACGCTGGACCCACCGGACGATTCCTTCCGCATCCGCATGGCAGCGACGCTCCTCGCCACGTGCGGCCACTTCTTTGACCGCGGCTCATCGCGGCGCCGCCTCGACCGCTTCCTGCTGCTCTTCCAGGCCTACATGCTCGCCAAGCCCTCCGTGCCACTTGATGTGGAGTTTGACCTGCAGGTGGGTTGTGGTGGATTGTGGTAAATTCTGGGGGGTTGTCGTGTCGTGGGTTGTTGTGTGTATTAGTAAGGCTGTGGAGACGGACGTGGCTCTTCCAGGCCTACATGCTCGCCAAGCCCTCCGTGCCACTCGACGTGGAGTTTGGCTTGCAGGTGGAGAGGGAGGGGGTTTAGTGTTGGGGACGGGGGGGGAGGAGAAGGTGCTGGATACGGCACGTGGAGGGCAGGGTAGGGGCTTGCACACAGAGGTTTCTACCAGGCCTAGGTGTTTGCAAAGCCCTCCCTGCCAGTTGACGTGGAGTTTGAATGAATTGCATGTGAATGAGATGCCTCCGGTCTTAATCCCTGTGGGGATCCAGGTGTGGGTGAGCCCATCGCCTTACAACGAGAATGACTGTCACGGGTGCACTCACTGCTGAGTGAATCTCCGCGTGAGCCTTTCAGTTCTTTCTTCCTTCAGTTCTCTGGGTCTTGGGCCATAAACCTCGTCGTGGTCTCTCCGCAATCTCGCATTCTCTGCTCCCTTGTGGCGCCGGCCGTCGTTCAGGATCTATTCGCCAAGCTGCGGCCGCGCATGAAGCGATTCGCCACTCTGGAAGAGGCGCAGGCGCAGCTGCTGCAGGACGCTGAGAGGGCCGCTGGCAAGGGCGGGGGAGGGGGCGGCGGGAGAGGAGGGGACGGGGCTGGTGCTGGTGGGGCTTCTGGGGCTGCAGCGGGGATGGGAGGAGCAGCGGGAGGAGGTGGGGGAGGAGGGGGGGGGCTTGGGGTTATCCCTGAGAATGTTGAAGTGCAGATGGAGCAAGGGGGGAAGGCGGGGGAGGGAGGGGAGGAGGAGAGGAGTGATAGCGAGGAGGAGACTGTGGGGGGGGATGAGGAGGAGGGAGGGGAGGAGGACGACGGGGATGAGACAGGGGATGGGGAGGACGGGGGAGGAGAGGACGACGATGACGAAGGGGAGACGGAGGGGGAGGGGGGCGCGGGGGGGGAAGCAAGCGAGGCGGAGGAAGGGGAGGGGGATGACGACAAAGTGAAGCTGGTCGGGGGGAGGAAAGAAGCGGAGGTGGATCCGGAGGAGCTAGAAGACTTTGACAAGGAGTTTCGAGCGCTCATGCAGGAGAGCCTTGCAGAGAGGAAGCTGGAGAAGCGGGGTGCGGGCGTGCTGAACATATCGATTCCCATGAGCTTGCTCGATGGGAGCTCGGGTGCGAGTGCGGGAGGGGGTGGTGGTGGTGGTGGTGGGGGGGGAACGGGGAGGAGAGGGGGGGGTGGAGCAGGGAAGGTGGATGATGGGGATGATGCTGATGATGAAGGGGGAGAGGGGGGGGGGAGAGGAGGGAGGGGGAGAGGAGGGGATGAGAAGGGGCCGGATATGACTGTTTTCCGGGTGCTGGTGAAGAGAGGGAACAAGCAGCAGGCGAGGGAGTTGATGGTTCCTAGTGACAGTGCTATTGCGGTGGCGACGCGGCGCAAGGAGGAGGAGGAGGAGAAGGAGAGACAGGATATCAAGAGACGCGTGCTGGAGTATAATGAGCGGGCGGAAGAGGAGAGGCCGTTTGCGCCTGCTGCTGTGGGGTTTGCAGGGGGAGGTGGGGGGACGGGAGGGGGATGGGGAGGAGGAGTGGGGGGAGGGGGAGCGGGAGGAGGAAGTGGTGGGTATGTGCAGTGGCAGCAGGGGCAGCAGGGGAGAGGAGCAGGAGGAGCAGGGATTTTAGGAGGAGGAGGAGCAGCAGCAGCAGCAGGTGGAGGGGGAATGGGAGGGCAGGGCAGGGGAGCTCAGCCTGTATTGCTTGTGAGAGCACGGGATCAGCAGGGGGGGCACGGAGGGGCGGAGAAAGAGAGGGAGCGGCCTGGGAGGAACAACCTGGGAGTGGTGGATGGGTCACTGTCGGACTTTTCTAGCAACAGCCAGGCCAGGTTGAACCGGAGGCGGTGAGGTGCGGTGCGGTGTGGTGCAGGCCAGCCAGGAGTGTTGCACTCGCCCAGGATGGCAGAGCAGCCTTCCGGGACCTGAGGGAGAAGTGTTGCGCGATACCAGGTTTTCTTTTTTTTCTCCTTTTTCCATTTTTTGTTCTTCTTCTTTTCTTTTTTTCGTTCTGGTTATTCTTCCGGTTTCATTCATGCGCACCGTGATCTCCAAGTGGTGCCCTTGCGGTGTGGCATCAGCATGAGGGAGCGAAGCCAACGAGTCCATCATGTTATCGTCTCAGCACACACCGCTGCCCTCAATATTGCGCCCAACTTCTCCGCGCAGCCGTTCTTGGCGGTGGTAGCTTTTGAGTCGACTCAAAAGTCACTTCTCCGCAGCCGTCCTTGGCGGTGGTAGCCATGGCTCACGCAGGGTTGGACTGGCAGGTCCATTGCAAGGGCGTGATGTTAAACCCCAGTGATCTGCTTTTGAGTCGACTCAAAAGCATTGCAAGGGCGTGATGTTAAACCCCAGTGATCTCTCTGCATTTCTATGCCTGTGCCTTGCACCTGCTGGAAGTGCGTCCGTTCGCCGGTTTGCAGTGCGGGTGAGGGACGAGAGGGGATCGGTGCACGGATGTGTGATGTGGAAGGGGACTGTGTGAGGGGGAGGAGGAGGAGGCATGTGGAGTGCTGCAAGCATGCACAGCAGGAGCAGCGGCAGGGAAGCAGGTGGGGTTGCAGCAGGAGCAGCAGCAGGAACAGTAGCAGGGACAGCAGCAGGGACAGCAGCAGCAGCAGCGGTGGCAGCAGCAGGAGCAGCAGCAGGAGCAGCAGCAGGAGCAGCAGCAGGAGCAGCAGCAGAAGCAGAAGCAGGAGCAGAAGCAGGAGCAGAAGCAGCAGCAGGAGCAGCAGCAGGAGCAGCAGCAGGAGCAGAAGCAGCAGCAGGAGCAGAAGCAGGAGCAGCAGCAGGAGCAGCAGCAGGAGCAGAAGCAGGAGCAGCAGCAGGAGCAGAAGCAGGAGCAGAAGCAGCAGCAGGAGCAGAAGCAGGAGCAGCAGCAGGAGCAGCAGCAGCAGGAGCAGGTGGGGAGAGAAGGGTCGGAGGAGCAAGGAGAAGCAGTGGGGTGTGGGTCCGTTTGCTTGTCTGGTGGAGGGAGCAAGAGGGTGGAGCCGTGGCAGCGGTGCTGTACGTCCCTCCCAAGCATGTCACACCACGGCACAAGGTGACTCTTCAGTTTGATTCACAAGTCTCCTTGTGACAGCGGCGGTGCGTCCGACCCATATGATATGACTGCACCACGCTGCACCTTGGCTGCCTAGCATCGGCTTGAGCAGTGCCGCGCACCTGTGAACCCTGAACCTGAACCTGAACCTGAACCTGAACCTGAACCTGAACCTGAACCTGAACCTGAACCAGGCACCGCCACCCACCAGCAAGCTCCTGGGCAGTTGGCAGAGCGTGCTCGAATCCCATAGCTCATCACCGTGCTGTGGCTGGGCTCTGCATCGGGAACGGCTCATCCTGGAATCAGAGACCAGCTGCCTGCGATGCCCCGGCTCACCTTCTCCTGTCTTGCTGTTAATTCCTGAGGCGTGACTCCAGCTTATTCCTGTTTTTCCCCTGGCTGTCTGCTGAGTTTTGAGGTACCTCGGGATATGCTCGGCCTCCTGCCTGACCTGACTACCTGAAGATCTTTCACCTGACGCTGTGGGGTGCTGGTGCCACGGCTGTTGTGGTTGGCACCACCTGCTGCTGTTGCTTCTGCTGTGGTGGCTGCTCCTTCTGCTGTTGCAGTGCTTGTTTCCCGAGCATGGCCCACCTGTCCCTCTGCTCCTGCCTCCGCTGTTCCCTCCGTGCTGGCGGCCCCTGACCTAGATCTGCTTGCATGTGTGCTTGTAGTAGCATTGGCAGACACAGTCAGGGGCAGCGATGAATGGTGAAGGGGCCAGGGCAAATGCGAACAGCAGGGTGAGCAGTTGGTCAGAGCAGTGAGTGTTATGCAGTGGGCAGTGGGCAGTGGGCAGCGGGTACTGTGCAGGGAGCAGTAAACGGCGAAAGGAGCTGGGTGGTAAGAGGGGGTAGTTATGACAGGTGTTGCAGTAACACACCTGTGTCAAACTGGAGGTTCCTTGCTTTTTGCCACTCCGTACTTAGCAGCGAGCAGTTCCGGGGTGTGAATTGTAGCAGATAACTGTAAGCCAAGGCATGCATGGTCGTGGTGCGATCAGCTTCTTTTGCATTGTGGTGATTTACAGGATCATGTGTTTGTGACATTTTAGCATGAACAGGGTGCTGTGGAACGTTGTATAATTGTATTTGTAGCGTTTGAAAGGCATAAAGTCACCAAGTCTTAGCGAAATCAAATCGCACCTACAGCGAAGACACCGAACCTCACTGACAAACACACCACCGACAAGACGACAGTTTGCCTGCTTTTCGCTGCAGCGAGTGACACTTGCGTGACCGGGGGCGTTCTCACGGTTTGGACGACAAGGAGTCTGCCCACGCGACTCGCAAATTTCCAATGTTGTAAAATTTGAATGGTTGCGGCTCCAGGTCTGGACACCACTGTGCAAACAATCTGGGTCGTAAGATCCGTCATGGTTACCCGATCGAACGTCTGACGATTACATCCGCAAACCACGGTGGGAAGTGCACTCGAAGGACAGGGGAACAAATCGTTTTTGGGGCGAAAGCGTTTCAAAAATCGAGAACTCTCCCTCTCCCCGTACAAAAACCGAAGTCAACTATACGCTTGAACAAACAGAATTACTTGGAAAAATACATTGAAAATTCATGTTGGAATTCGCAATGGTTGGCGAAGTATCGTATTTCTCTGTGATTGGATGTGAGACTGTAGCCGAATTTGCGATATTCGGGCATAAATCACTGCGGTGTCCAGAGTGGGGCAGTACCCCACAATGGACACCATCCCTCCAAATCACGAGCCGCGTGGGCAGACTCGCTTGTCGTCCAAACCGTGGGAACGCCTACTCAGGTGGCATCCTGGGCAACTTGCGTTCGAATCGAACACATCATGCTGCGGGTCACCAATACACGTCGTAGCCAATAGCATATCGGGAGACGTGTACGATTTTCTGACATCACACAGACTGGAAATGAGAACCGTCGATATCATAACGACGGTCCACGATGACGGATGGCGATGCTCAGCGCAAATCGTAAGCGGTCGCACTTGTTGCCGTTGTCAGTCAGTATTCAACCTTGTTGGAAGGTTCTAGTCGTAGAAAGTTGGGGGGATCACACATAGGTCGAACTTGGTTCGTAAAATCGCAGCCTCAATCCAGCGGTTTCGCGTCTTGTTACCTTCGAGGCGTCACGTCACGTCACGTGATGTTGAGTAGATTATGGAAACGTCCAGACCAAAACGGAAACCGCCGCTCTTTTAGTAGTGCATCAATTAGCGTTTCTGCTCCGGCGTCGGCTTATTCCGTAGCAACCGCTCCAACATGGTGAACCGCTAACAGCGGCGTAATCTGATTCTGCCGTCCTCGAGGGGCCCTCGCGCTGCGATAGTTCCAAGGCGCACTCAGCCAGCAGCTACACCGCGTGCCGCGATACTGTACAAAGTCCTCGTTTCTCGTTCCTCCCTGGATGCTGGCTCGGTTGGAAAGGGGGGAATCGAAACCTCTTCTCAGACCGTCGTGCTTTTGAGTCGACTCAAGAGCAGACCGTCGTACGAGCTGTCAGTAACGGACAAGTGGGCTGCGGAGGCCTTAAACACTCACAGTCGTCTGAGCGACGAGCCTTTTGTCGCCACCGTATATCCAAACTACCGTTCCTCGAGCCGCTTTTTGAGGCGCCGCGAAATCTCCCGAAGAGGCTCTTCGCGCCAGGAATACTCAGCTCCACCATTCGAGATCATCTCCAAATCGGGCGGAGTGATCCAATATTTGAGAAATCTCCGAATTCGATCTCAAAGGAGGCTCTTCTCGCCTGATTAACACAGCACCAAAAGAAATCTCCGCCATTTGAGAGCATTTCACAGGCGGACCGATCCTACCCGGCTCGCTACCCGTGGCGACTTTGAGTTGACTCAACGCCTCCCCGCCGCCCTCTCCGCGCGCCTCTCCGTCCGTCTCCCCGCGCATCTCTCGTTTCCGCGATGCCTTTGACGCTGCTAGCCCGCTCGCGCATGGACGCGGAACTACCTGCGCGGGACGCTGAGGCGGAAGGGGGGGAGACGGGGGAGACAGGGGAGGCGGAGGCGTTACTAGCAAGGCGCAGGGGGGGGGAAGAAGCAGCAGGCGCGGCGGAGCTCCGCGGGCCGCCTCCAGGCGGTGCTGCTAGTCCCGCGGACGAAACAACTGCCGCCCTGTGCTCTGCTGTGGTTGGGAGTGAGGGAAGTGTGGAGCAGGGAAAGCTAGGGGAGAGGGTGGTGAAGGAGGGGAGCGGGGTGGGTGAATGGGATGATGGCGGTGGCAGGACGAGGGACGGTGGAGGGAACGCAGTGGAGGAAGGGGGGCGGGAGGAGAAAGAGGAGGAGGACGAGAGCACGCAGCAATGCCGGATATGCCTGGAGGCTGATGGTATGATAGCCGCACATGCGCACACGTGGAGGGGGGTGAAAATGGGGAGGGAAGTGAGGAAGGTGTGTGGAGGCAACGATTGGGGAAAAGGGTTGGAGGGGTGGGGTGTGTAAATGGGAGAACGGGTGAATTGAGGAATCGCATGATCGTCTCTCTGCTGCACCATGGCATATCACTTAGAAACATGATATCATTTTCGCCTTCCTCATCACCATCACCTGCACACTCATTCCCCACCCCTCCTCATTTTTCCCCTCCCCACCCCTCTTCATTTCTCCCCTCCCTACCCCTCCCTTCCCCTCCTCTCCCTTCTACTCCCTTCCCCTCGCCTCCCCTCCCCTCCCCTCCCCTCCCCCCCCCCTCCCCTCCCCTCCCCCTCCCCTCCCCTCCCCTCCCCTCCCCTCCCCTCCCCTCCCTTCCCCTCCCCTCCGCACCCTTCCCCTCCCCTCCGCACCCTTCCCCTCCCCCCTTCCCATGCCCTGCCCTGCCCTCCTCACCCGCCCCTCCCCTCCCCTCCCCACCCTTCCCCTCCCCTCCCTCTCCTCCCCTCCACTCCCTTACCCTCCCCTCCCCTCCCCACCCCTCCCTCTCCTGCCTCCACTCCCGTACCCTCCCCTCCACTCCCCAAACCCGAAACCCTGTGAGAAAAGCGCCATGATGCAGGAGGCATGTTGAGCGGCTTAGAAGCCACCATCCCCGCACCTGCGTGCCTCTCCGCCCTGCCCCCTGTTCTCCCCCCACGTGCACCAGGTCGCCGCCTCATAGCACCCTGCCAGTGCCGTGGGACTCAGCGCTTCGTGCACCGCGCCTGCCTTGACGCTTGGAGGGCTGCCAAGGTGCACTGCGGTGGGGCGCGGTAGTAGTGGGGTGTGCGGTCTGGTGGGATACCGTCCACTGTCCATTGTGACTCATGCGGTCCCGGTTCCCCTTGCTGCCTGCCCTCCTGCTGTCATTCCCCCCTCCTTCCCTCCTTACCCCACGTGCTCTCCCTCCTACCCCTACCCCGCCATTCCGCCCCATCTCTCCATCAGCGATTTCTTTCTCCTCTCCTTCCACTTCCTTCGTTTTCCCCTGCCATGCACCTCCTTCCATCTCCTCGCCCCCCCGCTCCCTATCCACCTCGGCTCCATCACCCATCACAGCAGGCTTCTGCATTCTCACGCCCGTGCCTCTTCCCTCCCCTGTCTCCCACTCCCTCTGCCCCTCTCCTGCCCCTGCCCCTGCCCCTGCCCCTGCCCCTGCCCCTGCCCCTGCCCCTGCCCCTGCCCCTGCCCCTGCCCCTGCCCCTGCCCCTGCCCCTGCCCCTGCCCCTGCCCCTGCCCCTGCCCCTGCCCCTCCGCCTGCCCCTGCCCCTCCGCCTGCATCTTCCCATGCCCATTCCCCCCCTCCCTCTCCCCTGCCGCCCTCTATCCACACCTCCTCCCCACCACATCACAGCAGGGTTCAGCATTCTCACGCTGCTCCGAGTGCCGTGCGCCTTTCTCCCTGCGCCCACACCTGCCCCGCGACCGCTCCTGGCACCGACTGCGGTTTAGAGCGGTGCTGCTGAGGGACCATGCAGCACTCGTCACCCTCGTGCTCCTGGTACATGCTGTTGTGACCTCCCGCTCTCATTCGCCCTCTCCCGCTCTCATTCGCCCTCTCCCGCTCTCATTCTCCCTCTCCCGCTCTCATTCGCCCTCTCCCGCTCTCATTCTCCCTCTCCCGCTCTCATTCTCCCTCTCCTGCTCTCATTCTCCCTCTCCCACTCTCATTCTCCCTCTCCCACTCTCATTCTCCCTCTCCCGCTCTCATTCTCCCTCTCCCGCTCTCATTCTCCCTCTCCCGCTCTCATTCTCCCTCTCCCGCTCCCATTCTCCCTCTCCCGCTCTCATTCTCCCTCTCCCGCTCTCATTCTCCCTCTCCTGCTCTCATTCTCCCTCTCCCGCTCTCTCCCTCTCCCGCTCTCATTCTCCCTCTCCCGCTCTCATTCTCCCTCTCCCGCTCTCATTCTCCCTCTCTCGCTCTCATTCTCCCTCTCCCGCTCTCATTCTCCCTCTCCCGCTCTCATTCTCCCTCTCCTGTTCTCATTCTCCCTCTCCTGCTCTCATTCTCCCTCTCCTGCTCTCATTCTCCCTCTCCCGCTCTCATTCTCCCTCTCCCGCTCTCATTCTCCCTCTCCCGCCCTCATTCTCCCTCTCCCGCTCTCATTCTCCCTTTCCTGCTCTCATTCTCCCTCTCCCGCTCTCATTCTCCCTCTCCCGCTCTCATTCTCCCTCTCATCTCACGCTCTCATTCTCCCTCTCACGCTCTCATTCTCCCTCTCACCTAACGCTCTCATTCTCCTCATGCTCCATTCCTCCCTCTCCTTCCTCCCCCACCCTTCCTCCCACCCCTTTTCCATTCCCTTACTTCACAAACCCAACCTCTCACGCGTCCCACATTGGTGCTGTGGGCCGTGCCTGTGCCCGTCCCCGTGCCTGTGCCCGTGCCTGTGCCCGTGCCCGTGCCTGTGCCCGTTCCTGTGCCTGTGCCCGTGCCTGTGCCCGTGCCTGTGCCTGTGGCGGTGCAGCTGGTGGGGGCACTGGGAGTGTTCACATACCGGGTGTTTGGGCGCCAGCTCAGGGACGCACTGGGCTTCCAGGACCGCCCCCACGAGTTCTTCTCCTTTGCTGGTCAGCTCTTCCCTCCTCCTCTGCCCCCGGACTTAGTATGCTTATGAGATTCTGTGTGCACGGATTCGTGTAGGTGTGCATGTGTGTGCATGTATGGAAGCGCGGCCGTGAGGTGTGTATTCTCTCCCTTGCGCTCCCCCTGTCCATCACGCCGCCCACCAGTGTCACTGCTGGCACTACTAGGGCTCGTGTGCAGGGCGCGCATGGCCGTGCTTTGCAGGAACTTTCTTTCTCTCTTGCCTCCCCTCTCTCTACCTTTCTGATCCCTTGCTCCCCGGTCCATGCCCTCCCCACGGCCCTCCCTCCCACCGTCTCTGCAGGCACTACTAGGGCTCGTGTGTACTGTCACATTGTGCTCATGCCTGTGCTCATGCCTGTGCTCATGCCTGTGCTCATGCCTGTGCTCATGCCTGTGCTCATGCCTGTGCTCCGCAGCGAGTCACTCGCTTTCCCGTCTTTTCCCTCTTTCCCTCTCTGACCCCCTTGCTCCCCGTCCCTGCGCTCCCCATCCCCTCCCTCACTCACTCCCAGCGTCCCTACTGGCACTGCTAGGCATCGTGTACAGTGCACTCATGGCTGTGCTCTGCAGCGACTGCATCACAGAGAGGCATGCGCACGTACTGCACAGAGGCCAGCTTACTAAGGTACGCCCCTGCACGTCTTTCCCCCTTGGCGTCTTGCACAGAGGCCAGCACACCAAGGTACGCCCCTGCACCTCCTCGCTTCTCTTCCGTTCCTTCAACTCTCCCACACGTCTCTTTCCTTCCCCTCCGCATCTTGCACATAGGCCTGCTTACCAACCAAGGTATAATCCGCTCCCTCCCTGCTAACCTCGCCACTGTTCCCTTCCTCCTCTTTCCTACCAAGCCTCTTTCCCCCTCCCACCTTTCCCTCCCTCCCCTCCCTCCTCTCCTCTCCTTCCCCTTCCCTATCCCCCACTCGTCACTCTCTCCTTCCTTCACTCCCTCCCTCGCGAGTTTTGAGTCGACTCACCTCCCCCCTCCTCCCCCTTCCCTACTCCCCCACTCCTCACTCTCTCCTCTCTTCACTCCCTCCCTCGCGCATCGCTCGCTCCACCCATGGCACCTCCCATTCGCTCTCCCTGCGGCAGGAATTCGTGGTGGTAGACTTGAGCAGATGCGCTGACCCCAAGCCCCTGCCTCCAGACTTGGTGCAAGAGCTCTCTGCCCTTGGCCTCATGTGAGTCCACTCCACCACCACCACCAGTAGCAGCAGCAGCAGCAACAGCAGCGGCAGCGGCGGCGGCAGCAGGGGAGATTGTGACAATGGCAACGCAAGCACAGAAGACTACCGTAACATAACTGAACTGTTGTATGCAAGTGACCATAAACTCTGCTTATTGCACTTGTTGCAATAAACATGCTTGTTTTTGTACAGAAGAGCAGCGCATAATGGTTGGAATCTCACTTTATTATTTCCACACTGTCCCATAATTTGTCGTATCCTTTTTTGTTCCATGAATTGCTTTGCCCCCATTGTGCAATTGAGGGTTTGATAGGAGCGAATTAGAAATTGGAGTTCTATTACAACATGTTACGGGTGCAATCGAACGAGCAAGTGAAGGTTACACTAAAAAATCAAACGAGTACGTACAATGTGAGCGAACATGTGATCGGACTCTTATTGCGAAAGTAAGCAAATGGTAACGTAGTGCGTGTGAACGAGCTAGTGCAATGCTGGCAGCGAGGTTCGGGCTAGTCCCGAAGCGTAGGTCAACCGTAGCAGTGCGGGCTTGGCAAAAGTGACATGCGAAACCACTAAGCAAAAACGGGAGAAGAAACGATTGGTCCTGTACGCGTTGTTGTGTGCAGTAAGGAATGTCGAGAAACTTCCTTGCACTACCCCCTATGAAACTGTATTTGTATATCTGTAGGCTGTAGTGGGGTAGCCTCTACTTAGTACAACATTCTAGGATTAGACCTAGTACTTGTACTCATCTCATGCTTCTAGTCCACCATTCTTGCATGCTATATATGAAATGGTATTCAGAGCAGGTCCCTCCATAGGACCGCTCTGTTAGGGCCCACCAACCGTACGAACTACCCGTTTTTTCGGGCCCGGCCCTGCCTGATCGTAAATGCCCTGCCCTCACAGCGTCCTGCACGCTGCCCTGCCCTGGCTTGGGCGCTGCCCTAGGCACTACCCGCGCGCGCAGCTGCCCGCAACCTGCCCGCTTGCAACCCTGCCCTGCAGCCCGCGCGCTGCCCTGCCCTGCTGCCCGCACGCCCTGCAGCCCGCGCGCTGCCTTGCCCTGCTGCCCGCACGCCCTGCAGCCCGCGCGCTGCCCTGCCCGCGCAGCCCTGCAGCCCGCGCGCCGCCCTGCCCTGCAGCCCGCGCACTGCCCTGCCCTGCAGCCTGCGCGCTGCCCTGTCCTGCAGCCCGCGCGCCGCCCTGCCCAATGCGGAGTGTCGCCCTACAATGGGAGTGGACTACGGAGGAGGGCACGGGGTTGTGCGGGTGATCGTAGTGCTCCAGCAGAGTTCTTACTACTTGCTGTTTTCACAAAGAAATTTGGCAAGAGTTTCCAAAAAAAAAAATGGAAAAAAAACATTGAGAATTCAGAATTGGAGTACAAAATGAGGCATGCAAGTCGATATGACTAGAATGGCATGCAACCCCTAGCAAGCATTCTGCAAGGCGAATTGCCAGCGCAGCATCAGAGGGGTTCGCCAACGCTGAAGCAGGGCGGCCTGCCAGCGCTACATTCGCATGTGAATATCCGCACGCAGGTGCACACCTGCCGAGTAGGTGCAGGTAGACAGTTGTAGCGTCAGAGACTTTGCGCAGGTGCCAGGTAGAAAACGTTCCGAGGGTTTCGTCAGATGTCTACCGTCGAACATGTGATGCCGTTCCGCATGTCAAATTTCGCTAAAACCTCCTGAGCGAATTTCGCATGCCTTCACAAAGTTTCGTAGTCACGTGTATCGAGTCGACCAGTTCGCCGGGACGAGGCTCGCCGAACAGCGCCCTTCGATCCGAGAACGGGGCTCCTTAAAAAGTACCCCATCCGTCAGAGACCGCGCGACTCACTAGCAGATCAAGGACGAGCGCGTCGAACAGTACCCCGTCGACCAGAGCTCGTCGATGGGCTAGCCGACCAGAGGACAGCCTCCTCGAAAACCACCCGTCGAAAGCGCAGGTTGCCTAAACTTAAAACCAGGGTGCACATTCAATTGGATTTCTGTCAAAGGTTAAAACCGGGGTGCACATTCAGCTGAATGTGCATCAAAGGTTATCCCTTGACTGAGTGGGTTACGAGGTGTTCTTTCAACCCCTTCAAGTCGAAATTCGTTTCCCCCCTCCCCCGCAATTTCGTTTCCCCACGCCCCCGCAATTTCATTTCCCCCTCCCCGTCGAAATTCGTTTCCCCCCTCCCCCGCAATTTTGTTTCCCCCCTCCCCCGCAATTTCGTTTCCCCCCCCTCCCGCCAATCTGTTTCATCCCTCCCGCCATTCGGTTTCACCCACTCCCGCCATTTCACCCCCTCCCGCCACCTACGAAATGCCCGAAGCTCTAGCGGAATCATTTTTTTGTCGCCCCTCGTGAGCCAATCACTGTTTTTCTCCAAACCCCCTTCCCAACATCTCAAGCCGAACCGCGTTGAATGTGCACCCTGGTTTTAAAACCGGGGTGCACATTCAGCTGAATGTGCATCAAAGGTTATCCATTGACTGAGTGGGTTACGAGGTGTGCTTTCAACCCCTTCAAGTCGAAATTCGTTTCCCCCCTCCCCCGCAATTTCGTTTCCCCACGCCCCCGCAATTTCATTTCCCCCTCCCCGTCGAAATTCGTTTCCCCCCTCCCCCGCAATTTTGTTTCCCCCCTCCCCCGCAATTTCGTTTCCCCCCCTTCCCGCCAATCTGTTTCATCCCTCCCGCCATTCGGTTTCACCCACTCCCGCCATTTCACCCCCTCCCGCCACCTACGAAATGCCCGAAGCTCTAGCGGAATCATTTTTTTGTCGCCCCTCGTGAGCCAATCACTGTTTTTCTCCAAACCCCCTTCCCAACATCTCAAGCCGAACCGCGTTGAATGTGCACCCTGGTTTTAACCTTTGACCTCAGGGTTACTCAGTGATTTAGGAATATCTGGGGGGAGTGTTCGCTTCAGCAGGTGAACATTTGAACCCTCGAGATTTGGCAAATGTAAACCGAAGTCATCGAATGTGCTTCCGCCAATTCGTTTCCCCCCTCCCCATACCTATTCCGCTCCCACCGAAATTGTTTCCCCTTCCCCCACAATATCGTCTCACCCCCTTTCCCCTTTCCGCCAACCCAGTTGCCCTCCCCTTGATCCCCAATTTCTAGATCCAAGTGTTATCAATTTCTCCCCTGCCAAGCCTCATCTCTCACGGACGAAAAGCCCCATGCTCGCCCATTCTCAACTATTTATTCGCTACTCGTCAACCAATCAGCAGTTCCCGCAAACATGCCGCCCAAAATTTAGCCTGGAGTCGCGTTGAATGTGTACCCTGGTTTTAAAACCGGAGGGTCAAGAAGCACGAAACTGGTTCAAGCTTCCTAACCTTGGTTGGGTGTAACCCGGTTCCCACCAGGGGCCAACAAGGTCAATACACAAGGCCCAAACTCAACTTTCGCCAACCAAAAGCACTGTAGCAACGACGTTTCAGCCCTACGAACATCGCACGGAAATATCGCCCAACACCAACCTCAACAAACATGACCCACTAGCCCAGAGAAACTTGTCCCAAAACGCCAGAGATTAGACCCGCTATCTAAGAACTACTATTATAGTCGCTGAGCAAGAGCTATTCGCCAACAAACCGCACTGGACGTACGCGCAGCTCGATAACAACGTCCGGTGCGTGAACATTGTCGTCAACGCAACCACATTGCCGCACAAAGCCTTAGGAATCTACTAATGACGAGAATAAAGTACAATCTAATGCCATCGGGACGACCACGTACGGCCTTAGCAAGATCCTATGCGATGGCGCGTCGCGCCCAGATTCTTTAGGGTTACGTTGCCCATAGCTCCACGATTGCTAAGACGCATCTCGCACTCGGCACGAGTGTGAAACATTCGTGACATTGAGGGTTCGCCGCGGCTCACTCGCGTTAGGCGTTTCGCCACGGCACACTCGCGCCGTCGCATGCGCCGCTGCTCCCTCGCGCTGTCGCAATCGCCACGGCACACTCGCGCAAGCACATTTCCCGCTGCACACTCGCGCTGTCGCATTGTTCTCAGTTAGCCTGGCGGGCGGCTGCCACGTCGGCGCGTCGCGGCTTGAGAGAAGGCCAGCGAATCGTGGCTTTAGTGACGTCATCTTCATTGCGCTCTAAGCCCCCTCCTCCCTCCCAGTTTACTACGCACCATCTCGCACCTCACCTTTCATTCAACCATGCCTATCCCTCTCCTCGTCTCGCCCTCTTCCCCGTTGCAGCGCCATTCCACTTCGCCCCGCTCCCAGCCCCAGCAGCAGCCAGCGCGGGTCAGATTGCGGGCGGTGGTGGCGGGGGGTCGGGGGAAGGCGGGGCGGAGGCGGGAGGCGGAGGGGAGGGGCGGAAGGAGGAGGTCGGGGAGTGGCGGCAGTGGATCCAGCAGGCGCTCTCCAGTGAGTGCTGCTGACACGTGGCAGTCTCACACACAGAACACGTGGCAGTGTCACACGCTAGGCTCCAATGAATGCAGTTACAACGTAGCAGCTTCTCACTCCAAGCTCTAGGTAGCCAGGTCATCCCTGCCACGCACGCGCTGTTTCATTGGTGGAACCTTGTCCTGCCACGTGGCTCTCAGCAGCGCGTTTGGCTTACATGTGTATTGCATGTGTGCTGCTTGTGTGCTGCACGTGTGTGTGCATGTGCGTGCCTGGTCGCCTGGCAGAGGACGGCGAGGGGGGAGGTGGAGAGGGGCGTTAGCAGCAGGCGCGCATGGGTGGTCCATCACACGTCACCTCCCCTCATATTGTGTCGTCCGTCCATTTCACTATGCCCATGCACTATTTTCCTTGCCTCCGCTCCTCTTCCCCATTCCTCACCTCCCTGATATTTTCCATTCCCCCCATCTCTCTCTCTTCTGCCTACATCGCGCCCCCCACCCCACATCCTTCCCTGCATCTCTCCCTGTCCTCCCACCCCCCGTCCCTGACCCTCAAAGCAGCCAAGCTAAGCAGGCAATCGGGCATGGACATATCTCAGCCTCTCCCAGACGGCACGGGGGACTTGCTTTAGCAATCTGCCCACCCCAACCACCAAGGAGACTCTGCGTGCTGCTGACTTCCGCGTGAGATGAGGGGAGGGATGGAGAGGGGGCAATGAAGGCACAGGGGGGGGAAGTGAGGGCGGATAGGCACAGGGAGGGAGTGGGCAAGGGGAGGAACAGAGAAGTGGCGAAGTTGGATTGTGAAATATGTATATGGGAGTCTGGGCAGCACACAGGGGCATAGTGGAACGGGAAACTCTGCTGACTGGGTCAAGAGGTAGGTGCATGTGCTTCTTGAGAATTCTGAAATTCAGGTGCATGTGCTTCCGGCAAGATCAGACCCAGGAACAAGGTGAGCCCGCAGTCTCACTCTCCTCATGTTAGGTTCCAAGTTGCACTACTGTCTGTGCTGTCTACTCTCACTCCTCGTACAAGTTACAGTGCGCACTGCCATGTGTGCTGCCTGCCTATCCTCCTCACTCACACTCCCTGTAAACCCTTTTCCTCTACATTAACAAGCGCACTTGCATGTCATTCACCTCCACTCCTCATGCCATGTCGCCGTCCGTCACTATCCACGCCTGCAGTGCAGACTCGGCTGTCTGCCAAGGCGCAGCGCCGCGTGGCTCGGGAAATGCGAACTGCGCGGGTGTTCGGGCTCATGCCTTACACGCAGTCAGGGCGCCGCCGTTTAGGTTCGGCAAGGACCCGAACCTGGAGTCGGGGGAGCCGGACGAGGAGGAGCTTGACATGGCAGCTGCTGTTGTGGGGGACGATGAGCTCTAAGGCCATGACTGGGAGATAGCATGCTCAGGGTAGTTGGAGACTAGAGCAGGAAGAATCTGCATCATGCACATTGGCTTACCGCTGTGATCCAGTGTTTGAACTTCATTGTGTATTTTGTTTTGCTGAAGAAAAAATCAGTAGCGTGTGGCCTTGAAAGTTGACCTAGCAAAGATGCCATCAAGTGCTTCCTACAATTGACTGAGTGCAAGATACAGATCTGTAGCCTAACTACTCTGCTCACTTCCCTAACATCCTTGTGCATGGTCATCTCAGCACCATCAGTATCTGAGGTTGACACCTGAGTGCTCCCCATTCAGCCTCATTTAGGACATCTCATACGCCATTGCATCTGCTGCACTGCTCCCGTAATTCCCACCATCGCCCGCCCCCCGTTGCACCACGTTGGGCGGCAGCCCTCTCAAGGGCAAGTGCTGCTCCTCTGCCACCGGCATCGCAAGCACAGCCCTGGAAAGCCATCTCATGCCTCCAGGAGCGCTTGCGCCTGCTTCCGGCAGCGAGGCAGCAGCGCCTGCCTCCAGCATGGAGGCAGCAAAGGTGGCAAGGGTGTCGCCACAAGCTACGTGCTCGCGCACGCGGAGAATGCCCATTTGAAGGTACAAACTCATTGTGTCGCTGATGCTGGACAGCCGTGCAAACACGTCAATCTGCGGCACGGGATGGCGCATGTGGGGGCAGCACATGAGGGGGGAACCTAGGAAATGAGAGAGAAAGGTGTTGATTGGAGCATAGAGTAGGGCGGCAAATGCAGGGAGGGAGCTCAAGCGTGGAGAGGCATAGAGAGCCACATATTTGGAGGTCTGAGTGGTTTGAACTGATTTGAGAAAAATGTGTTCCAAGCGTCAGCAAGCACTCAAGGTTGTAAGCTCACCCCAGGATGTGACTGCATGTAGTAGTGAAGCTCGAAAAGGCTGACTGCTCCTTGCTTGCGGTCCACTATCTTGCGCACTATGCTCTGCAGCTCGAGATGGTCGCATGCAGGAGAGGCAGGGAGAGAGAAAGAGAGAGAGAGAGAGAGAGAGAGAGAGAGAGAGAGAGAGAGAGAGAGAGAGAGAGAGAGAGGGAGATGGTTTGAGCAGGATTTCCTTACAAAGCAGAAACAAGACTCAGAAAGACTGGCCGACAGGGAGCGGCCACACTGGGTATGGGTCGATAACTGGCATGCCTTTAGGTGGGTACACAAGGTGACGGGCTCACCTGCTCAAGCAGCGAGGAGTCATCAGGCACTGCAGCATCAGCAGCAGCAGCAGCAGCAAAGGAGCGTTCAAGCCCAGTAGCAGCCGCAAGTCATCGCCCGGGATGTGCATGCTCACTGAGTTGGTCTCGAGCAGCTGTGCTCAGGGGGATGGGGAGGGGAGGGAGTTGGCATCGGATGAACACTGGATGGCGTGGAGAGAGGGGTTTGTTTTGTCTAGGGTGTTTACACTTGAAAGTTGCACACAGCTGTAGGGAGGGAAGAATAGGAGGGGCCAGGGTGGGGCAGGGTGGCAGGCTAGGGCAGGGCGTACCGTGAGCAGGGAGTTGAGTATGTACTTGTAGGTCTTGACCTGTGCGTCGGGGACGGAGCGCACGAAGAACTGCACAAACTGCGCAGTGCGGGCGAATGGAGCAGAGGGGAAGGGAGAATGACAAGGGTAGCAGGGGGAGGGGGAAGTGGAGGCGACGGGAGGGGGAAGTGGAGGGGACGGGAGGGGGAAATGGAGGCGACGGGAGGGGGAAGTGGAGGCGAAGGGAGGGGGGAGTGGAGGCGACGGGAGGGGGAAGTGGAGGCGACGGGAGGGGGAAGTGGAGGCGACTGGAGGGGGAAGTGGAGGCGACGGGAGGGGGAAGTGGAGGCGACGGGAGGGGCAAGTCGAGGCGAAGGGAGGGGGAAGTGGAGGCGAAGGGAGGGGGAAGTGGAGGCGAAGGGAGGGGGAAGTGGAGGCGACGGGAGGGGGAAGTCGATGAACGTGGTGTAGCAGGAGACGTAATGAACTAGCAGCGCGACTGAAAGGGCGTCGCGCTGCGACGGGAAGAAATAGCAGCGCGGCGAGCCCGGGATGGGAAATTCCGGCACGAGCAAACCCTAACCGCTGTGTGAAGGGCTTCGTTCACGGAATCCGCACCTGGAGGCTTTGACGCCGGCAGTATCTCTATTTTTGTCCTTGTTACACGACTTTGAAATCTATGTGTTACGAAGTCACTGGTCGTTGGAATGTTACGTGACGGTGGGTCACTCTACTTGCTCTGATTTACGTTGCATAGATACCAACGTAAGGCTTACTAAGGTCCTAATAGAAGTGTTGTTGGGGCGTGACACTCAGAAATGTGGATGGGTCGTGGGGAAAGGTCGCTGATGGGTTTGTGCGATTGAGGTGTGGGCATGTTGGCCGTCGCATTATGTGTCAGGTTACTTTGGCGAGGTTTGGCATAGTTCGCGACATTCGTCCAACCTTTTCGACGTTTCAGTCCCTTCGTGTACCAATGGCATATCTGTTCCCAACCAAGCTTCCTAAGCTTGAACTTCTTGGCCCGCGGGTCGCGTCTCATATTTATGCCATCCAACCAAGTGTTAAACGGTTGGAATCCGGTAACAGCAGAGTTTGTCGCACAGCACACCAAGGAAAGGGGTGGTTGGTAAGGTTGGTTGGGAAATCGCGTCGCACACTTCCCCGCGAACACCAAGCATTTACAATCTCGGAAATTTGAGACTCTGAACTCTCAACTCTGACAGTAAGCGGGGCCAAACCTGTCCCCCAAGGCTCGTCTTCCACCCAAACCTGCACACCCTGGTTTGTTTTGGCCAAACCTGTTTGGGAGTTCGCTGTGTTTTTTTCACCCGCTCGTCACATATTTCGTCATTCGTTACCCAATCAAATAGGGGCAAACCCAACCAAGTGTTAAACAGTAGGAAATTTGAGACGCGAGCTTTAAGAGCCAATTCGACAACCGCATTCGTCGAATTCACCACGGCGTCGCAGAGAACGCCTGCGCCCAAGCGAGAGCGGGGCCTTTCACTTCGACACTCCCCTGCCCATGTCACGCTTGGGCACCCACACACAAGGTCCACAAAGAACCTAGGTAATAGATTACAAGGGGATATTTCTTTGGTGTGCACACCCCCGGACGTCGATCACCGCACCAGCCATGTTAGAGGACATGGTGCCTACTGCTGCACGTCGTCGTCATCGGCGACGTCGGCAAGGCAAACTTGGCCGACCGCGACGGAGCACCAGTTGAAAGCCGGAAAGTGCAGCATCTTCGTAAGAAAGTCTGACGGCTGCTCGGATGTCGGGATATATTCCAGCGCAATCTTCTTGCGCTTCACCATCTGCTGCAGCCAGGCATAGCGTTGCTCCATGTGCTTGAGGTTGCCCTTTAGCCCCAAGCCCTTAGCGACTTCAATGGCAGACTGATTGTCCACATTCAGAGTAGTCGGCATCCCAACGTCGACGAGCTGGAACTTGGAGAGGAGGAATCGAAGTCGACGAGCCTCCTTGCCTGCTTCGGTAGCCGCGATGTACTCAGACTCCATCGAGGACAGAGTCAAACACTTGATGAGTTGGCTCGTCCAGGGGACAGCTGTGCCGTTTAAGGTGAAAACATAGCCATTCGTGCTGCTGCATGTCTGCTTGTTGCCAGCGTCGTCCGCGTCCGCGTAGCCGACCGGTTTCAGAGTTTCCGCCCCCCCACCGAACTCTAGAGCAGCATCGCGTGTGTCGGCGAGATAGGTGAGGTAGCGATCGACCTCGCAGCCACAGCTTCCGTGCAGGTCGGTCGCGCACGATTTCGAGCCCCAAATACTTCTCGACCAGGCTGATCTTGCGCAGCTCAAAGGCGGCCTCCAGCAGCTCTTTCAGCATTGCGGTGCTACTACTGGCCATCCACGTTGACGAGCACCCAGCACGCCACTTCGTCGTCGCCAAATCTGAAATACAGAGCCTCGTCCACCTGGCTCTTGCTCCAGCCGGCGCCAGTCAGCACATCGTCGAGCGTCGAGTAGCACAGCAGAGGGCTCTACTTCAGCCCGTACAAGCTCTTCAGCAGCTTGCATACGCGGCCGGTGCCGTCGTTGTAGTAAGCCGGCTGGTCCATGTAGAGCACACGGTCAAGCTTGCTCTCAGCGGTTCTTCATGACATTGATGCCGCGTGGGCGCTCCACAAGCTCTCATGTGCCGTTGGAGATGGGACTTCGAATGTCCTCGTCCATTGCCGCTTTCACTGCATTGCCCTTCCAGCTCGCCAACTCTTCCTTGACCACCACGTTGGTGATCTCCCAACGGTGCTCCGGGTCAGCGTGCATATCGGGGTCGAGCTCTGGCACGTTGACATCGAACTGCGCTTCGTCGAGCAGAGTGTTGTAGGAGGTCGGCGTCAGGCAAGCATGGTAGCTCAGCTGTTTGCGAGGCTTGCCAAAGTTGGAGCGGGTGGAACGTCGAACTGCGGGCTTGTCGGCAAAGACTTCCACCACATCGCTATCGCTGGTCGACATATCCCCTTCATCGCCGCCGATGACTTCAACAACGTCACTCTATGTGCCATCGTCGAACTGCTCCCTAGTCATTCGTTCCTCTGAAGAGAGTTCCTCGCTCGATGGCTCCTTTGAAACGCGCTCCCCATTCGGCGGCTCCCTTGTCGACGACTCCTCTAAAACGTGCTTCCTGTTCGACGGATCCCCTGTCGGTGGAGACTTCACTCCAACGGTAACTTGCTCGCTGAGTTGATCACGTCGACCGCCAGTGATGCCGATAGGCGAAGCCAAAGGCGACGTACCAATGCTCCCCTCATCGCTCGCGGCCGACGTCGATGCCGACTTAGGCAGGCCGGGGGGGAGCGATGGGAGGGAGGTGGGAAGAGGAGGAGGAGGTTTTGACAAGGGCGGAATGGTGGAAGAGGGATCGGCAGAAGGACCATCGTCCTCCGCTTGGAGCAACTGAATCGCCGTTGGCAATGGACCCGTCAGCGAAGAAACCTTCGTCCGCGTTGACGCCGGCCCATGCTCCACCTTCCACTCCTCCAAGGACTTGTAGAAGTTTGTTTCCACGGTTGTGACAACACGGTTGTCGGTAAGGTCGAGCACCTCCTAGCCCTTGCTCTCCGACGAAACACCGAGGTGAATGCCTCAGCATGCCTTCGGCACCAACTTTCCGCCGCACTGCTGCTCCGGGACCATGAACTACACCATGCAGCCCCACATGCTCGCCATCGTAAGGTCCGGCTTCTTTTCGAACATCAGCTCATACGGCGTCGTCCTCGGAGGAAGGGAAGCCCATTCAAGGCAGTTGCGCATCCAGACTATGTTGCAAAGGGCGAGGTGCCACCAGTGATGCTTCACCCCCATTGTGAGAGTACGACGGCTTTGCTAGACTTTACTTGCTTGATTATGCATTATCTAGCTTAGCTTTATTTTTTCTTGCATGCTTTTGCTTGATTTCCTAGGTTAAAGGCTTTACTATATTTACTATAGTTATAGGCACTGAACTAGGTTGAGTGCACCGAATTCTAGGCTTTTCGGTTGCCACCGAATTGACTTCTACCGAATACCGGAAGGATCCGTTCGGGACGCTTCGCGCCCCCCAAGAACCTTCTAATAATACACGGGTTATTTCCTTTGCGTCGAGCCTATATATAGCCTCACCTTGTACCCAAGTATTGATTCAATATGTCAGAATCCCAACCACTTAGACCATTGGGATAAAAGGGCTTGTTTGTATCGCGGGTTTGTGCACCCATAAACCCCCAGGCGAACGCGCTTGTAACCCCACTCAGGATGTATCGGGCATTCACAGTGCAAATCTACTGACACCCCCCCACACTGGGGGGCCCAGGACTGAGCACAGTGGCAACGGCCTACATGTGCATACACCGGGATTCGAACCCGAGACCGCTTTGATACCATGTCAGAATCCCAACCACTTAGACCATTGGGATAAAAGGGCTTGTTTGTATAGTAGGTTTGTGCGCCCGTGACTCCCCAGGCAAACGCGCCTGTAACCCCCCTTAGGATCAATCGGGCATCCAAAATGCAGATCTACTGACAGAATAGATTTCTCTTTCCTAAACCAGATCCTCACACTTGGTAACCAGAGCGGGTTTACACGCGAGGTCTTAAATCGCTTAAAGCCGGCCTTTAAAAAACGCGGGGGCGACGACGAGAGCGCCGAAACGAGTATGTAAAACCAGTTCCGCGCAATTTTTCTAAGTCCCCCTCGATCCGGTTGTCAAACATCCCTTAGGATTATTGACAAAGAAGTTGGAATTTCGACCTTCAGATTGATTCAAATCTCAACGGCCTAGAGAATTTCACCTAAAGTGTTGGAATTTAGAGCGTCAGATCGAGTTTCTCCTCAACGGCCGAGATCGGACGCGAATTTCAACCAAGGGAGAATTGCGCCACGTACAGAATCCGCGCACGTCGATTCTACAGTCGATTCGACTCGCAGTAAGTCGACCATCACCTATAATTCATTTATTTTCGTCCCACATCTTCCTGTAAGTCGCCACATGGAGGGAAATAGAGATACTTTCGTACGGGAAATCGCAGAGTTATGAGCCGAGCATGAGCAGATACGTGCGGCGCTGCTACGACTGCAAACCAGTCGGCAAC